CTCTCTCTCTCTCTCTCTCTCTCTCTCTCTCTCTCTCTCTCTCTCTCTTTCTCTTCCTGGACAGTACTTACACTATTGAGTTCATTCAGTGTCATGACTGTGGAGTGCTCAAAAATATTAGAGGCTTAAAATTTCCAGGGGAAGCCTTGAAGGGTAAACTATTTAATTGTAGCCAATTTGAGCTTTTAGCATACAATCCATAGCTGTAACATTAATATAATTGCATTTAGAGGGAAAAACAGAAAGTGGCCATGTGCACCCATGGAAAGAAGCAGGCTCAGAAGAGAGCTGAAAACGCCTTAAAGTTATTCTTCATATAGAAGGGCCCTCTAGCAATCAGAAAGTTTCAGGTTTTTTTTTAAGTTGTTTTCATGGAGTTTTTCATACATGAAGTCTCACCAGCAAGGCTCCTAAAGACAAATATGAATAAGAATCACACCAACAGACACATGAATGTGGAAAGGAGAAAGTTCAGGAGGCCTCAACCCTAGACAAAGAACTATAGCATTCAACTACGGAATGCTGAGAACAGGAGAAATAGTCTTCCACAGTAAGAACCACACAAATTAGCTATTTACTACTAAATGATCAGCGGTGAAATGAGTAGTAAAAATCAGGTTGAAAACAGTAGGTTCTGGGCAAAAGTACCTGATTTATATAGTTAACCTATTATTAGATTTAAATGTCTAATTTTAAGCAAAAATGTTATAATGATTATCAATAAAGTTTATATCATTGAAAGAAGTAAACTGAGTCACTGGCTACTTTCCCTGGGAACTTGATGTAGATTTCCAATGTGAAAAGAAAAACGCACATGAAGGGTGCTGAGAGAACCCCAGAAAGAGAGAAGTTCAAAAAAATTTATGAAAAATAGTGGAAGTAGGAAGGTTAAAAAAGAAATCAAAAGTAAATTTGAGCTGAAAAGCATTAAAATTGAGATGAATATTCAAGCACAGACTTGATACATCAGAAGAAGAATCAATGAACACAAAGCAAATCAAGTGTTAACCATGAAGTCTGCAAAAAAGAAAGAAGACTGAACAAAAATGAACAGAGCTAAGAGACTTGCATGGCAATATATGGGTCAATAAATATATTGCAGAATCTCAGGACAGACAACAAACAACGAATATTTTGAGAGTTACTAACAGTCACACAAATACGACAAACGACTTGAAAATGAATGCTAGAATTCAACAAGTTCAATGAATACCAAGTAACAAGAATTCAAAGAGTCCAAGAGCAAGACAAGTTATAATCAAAGACAAGTAAAGGCAGACAGAGGATGTTGTAAACAGTTAGAAATACAGCTATTCCAAGCAGAACACTGTGATATGAAGACGGTTTTATGGACCAACGAAATGGAATAGATATC